ATCAGCAGACCGGGGGACAAATGTGAGAGAGGGGGAAGAACTAGGAGAATTTTATAGAGGAGAACAAAATAGAGAGAAGGAAGCAAGAGATAGTTTTAGAGAGGAACAGAGAATTGTTTAAGGAACAGAGGGGGAGAATAGAAGAGAGAGAAGGGAGAAACCAAAAAAAAAACAGAGAGAAAAATAAGCAAAGGAACCAAAACAGGGGAGAATAGAGACGCGAAGGAGGAAGACAAGGAAAGAACAAAAAAAAAAAAACCAAGGAAAAAGAAACAGAGGAAGAACGCCCTTCTCCACCGCAGCAGCTGCCCTAGTCTGCGAGAACAACACCGCCGTTTGGAATCGTCATCCACTGCGAGCACACCACCTGACCGCCGCTATTAGCCACACCCACCATCACCACCAACATCGTGAGCTGCCACCAAGTCTGCTTTCCCCTCGCCTCTCTCTTCTTCCTTCTTCTCCTTCACTGCATCGTCTTCATTATTCTACGTGAACAATGGAGAGTGCTCCATTGTTTATCCGGCCTAATACAAAAATTTTCAAATAAAATATTTTGAAAATTTTGTAATTTTCCAGTTTATTTTTTTTACTGAATTTTGATTAATATCGGTATGTATTTTTATATTGCAAAGATATAAATCCAATATTAAAATATCCGATTTTTTTTAAAATATTAAAAAACAATGTTTTTATTTTCATGCATATGATCAAATTTCTCAAAGCTAAAAAAATCATTTTGTATTTTCATACAATAAAATTAACTTTAAAAAATATGTTTTAGTATGTTTTTTAGTTTTAATAACTAGTTTATTGAAGTCACGAAAACTTGGCCAATATTTTTTTTAAAAAAATATTTTATTTTATTTTAATGTTCGAGATTATAAATTTATATGTAAAACGTATTCCCGTTATTAAAAAGATAGTTCATTTATAGACATTAGAACGGTTAGGCTTTATCAGATAAGATAAGGATCTCCTCACTAAGGAGGATTTTTCTTAAACCATAGACAAACTAATAATTAGATATACAATGAAACCACAGCATTTATTAGACAATTAAATAATGCAACTTACCTTAGGTAGGATGTATTTGGGGTGTTAATACCTTCTCTTTACATATCTAATCTTAGTACTTAATTTCTGAGACTAGGTAGGATTTCTAATAATCAAAATAATAGGTAGTGACTCTCATTCTATTTTTCACTTATAAAGTATAAGAATTTCTTATCTTCCTATATTTGTTAGATAGATACACATACCTGAAAGGGTGGATGATCGTCGTGACGCTACATATATGCAACAACCTTGATGCCACTTATTTGTCTACAAATCCTATTTTTCATGCTCGTATAAATCATGTTGAAGTTAATTATCATTTTATCCAAGATAGAGTTGCAAAGAAGGAGATTTAGATTCTTTTTATTTCCTCTAATGATCAATTTGTAAATGTCTTTACCAAGCCACTTTCTAATATTGTAGGCATACTACATATGAAATATTATAGTTATCCTATTGTGGTGTAACCTCTATTATTAATATTATATATTGCCATATATATATATATAGAAAGGGTTGGATAACAAATAAGTTAAGTTTCTGAATTATTCTTAACATTAAGCAAGTGAGGCATATGTGATATTCACCAGCTGAGAGAGAAAGTGTTAGAAGAGATTATTAATTTTTTTATTAAAAACAAATAACAATAACAATAATAATAATAATTAATGTGAAAATAACATAAAAAATAAAAGAGAAAGTGAAGTTTGATTAAGAAAATCATTTAACCAACCCCCGATCATATTTCTTACGGGCATACATTCTATTCGTTGGATTTTACAAACATAAAATCTTTCCAAAAGGATAGTTCATGTGTACATAACCTGCATGGCAAATGTCCTAGTCAAATAAATCACCTATGAAACCATAAAAAATTCTAATTGACTCTGTATGCTCTCCAACAGGAATTTCTTCAGATGGTTTACTTGAGTTGTTTTGTATTTATATCGTTAATCAAATACCCATATCTTGGTTTAAAGCTTATACAGGCGGCCTAAATTTTATATTTAAGCAATATTGTTTCAATTTTTATTCATCTTTTTTCTCTCCTCTCTCTCTCTCTCTCTCTCTCTCTCTCTCTCTCTCTCTCTCTCTCTCTCTCTCTCTCTCTCTCTATATATATATATATATATATATATATAGGCTGAGAGAGTTGAAGAAAAGCCACCGGGCAGGATGACAATAGATAGGGCCCCAATCATTACAAGTTGAAAATCTAGAAGGTTTGAATAAATATAAGTTGAAAAATCTAGAAGGTATTCCTTTTCTCATTTGAGAGAATTGAAAAAGGACTTATAAGTTGCATCATTTTTAAGAACAATTGTGGATGGACGACTGCGTACTGTATAAATAAATAAATAAAAGATATAACTTAAATTTGTTTTCAATCTATAACCCGAATCTCAATTAAATACCTAAGAATTTTGTTGTGTTATAAAGTTTTCGAAAATTTTCAATTAATTGGTTCATCCATTTTTCATAATAATTTATTATAATATTAATATTTTAAAAATGACAATTTACTATCCATTTATCATACTTTTCATTTATGATCTCATTTATTTTATATGGAAAATAATAAAAAGAATTATCATGATATGTTCTTAATGTCCTATTTTATAATAGAATTAGTCATGTCCAGTTTTCAATTTAAATAAATATTGATGTTCTTGTATATTTTATAAAAATCAAAGGATCAAATTAAAATCATGAGAAGTGTTGATGAATTTTACAAGTGCATGAATTGTAATAAGTAATAAAATGATAAGTATAGTATTTTTCCATGAAAATTTTTAAAAATTACAACTAATTATCAAAATCTTTTAATTTATGATCTATTCAAGAAATCAAATGAAATAATTTACGAAATAAAAATTAATGATTAAAAACAAACAACTAACTAATTAAATATTATTAAATTATATTCTATTGACTCTAGGATTTCTAACTTACTATAACTATTTTTGTGTGAACTTTCTTAATTAAATTAATTATTTCTAGCATTAACAATCAAGTTTTTCTAATTTAAACACTAATCTCTCTCGAGTATCAATAAATTATTTCGACAAGCAAATTTCATATACTCTATAAATTTCTGAACTTGTCAAAATTTATTAAGAATCATAAAACCTTTAACTATTATAAAATTTCATAGGATATCTCTATCCTATAGATTTCTTAAAGTATTTCAAACACTTTCTAAAATAATAATCACTTCTCCGTCTCAAAATAAATCCCAAATCATGCAAATGTTGGTCAAATATACACAAGCATTAAGCATAAAATGACATACTCAACAACTAATGTAATAATTCAATCAAATAAATTGTTCACATATTTATTGTAAGGTTACATAAAAAATCCTAGAATAAAAGTCTACTCCATGATTAAATTAAAGATAAATAAACTTGATATGATAAACATCACTCAAAAGAGAGAATAACAATAGAATAGCTAGGTGTCTTCCAATCTGCTCTAATTTTCGATCCTCTATTTTTCTCTGTTTTTTACTCTCCTTTTATCTCGTCTTTTTTCTTCTTCTTTTTTGGTGTATTGAAGGGTATCTTTTTGTTTTTTTCGTTTCCCTAGCTGATTCTCTTTTTTTTTCTCTTACACTCTCACATTTTTACCCCTGCTAAATTAAGAAGGTTCTCTTCTTTGTTTTGTATTCCTTCCTATCCTGATATTGCAGGCTAGATTTAAGGCAGAAAATATACGAATTACTTCCTATCCTGATATTGCAGGCTAGATTTGAGGCAGAAAATATGCGAATTCAAAGATTTCTATTTCTAGAGAAATTATAGAAAATCAAATCTTCTTTCTAGAAACTTTTATGTTATTTTTTTTTTAACCTCTGAGACTTGAGATATGGGCCCTAACCTGAAACAACATTTGAAATGCAGGAATTTGGGATCCAAATCAATCCTTATTTTTCGACTAGCTTTTTAGGCTTCAAAATAAAAAAATAAAAATAAAAACTGAATTTTATGCCTTTCATTTTTCGACTAGCTTTTTAGGCTTCAAAAAAAAAAAAACTGAGTTTTATGCCTTTCATATATTTTGTAGATCTTCATCTTAGATTTTGAAAATGATAATAAACACTTGGAACTGAGTTGTATAACTTTATTTGCAGCCCAAAATCAATTAGTGTTCAACTTTACTGTCGGATTTTGCCTGCTCAATAGTTTAGTATCTGGAAACACATCCATTATTGATCAATAGTTCAATAAGAGTTCCAAAATTTTAATTAATTTATGTAATATATTTAAAATATTTCAAAATCAAGCATGAATAGTGGAAAATATACATGCTATAAATTCTCTTATCAAGAAGATAATTAAATTGCTTGTCTATTTTGGATCAAAATGTATTTGTATGTCTGCGCATATGTAATGAGTGTATCATTTTCACTAACACTTCATTTCATGCTAACGGTTTTAGATTATATTGATGAAAATTACCAACTAATCTAATGATGATGATAGATGAAATTAAAAATTAAAAAAAATGACCGAAGCTAACCTAATTCAATTTTTAGAACATGTGATACTGATCACGAAACTGGATCACAGCACAAAAATAAATTTCAAACGCGGATCATGAGATTGTGATTGATTAGAAAATCTAGTTTTAATAGCAATCCATACTTGTTTGAATGTGTTTAAACCATACACTATTCCAACAAGATATAGACGATAGATCATAATATAATACCCAAAGGATCTTGTTCTTTCTTATACCACGTTGTATAAAATGGATTGGGTGAATTATCAGCATTGGTTTTCATGGTCAAAACCTTCAACAACTCTACAACTCTAGAAGTGTTTAGAAAGGGCAGAAATTGGGACTGCCAGCGTAGATAATTTGATCCATCAAGTTTAAGGGATGGGGTGGTAAGGTATGAGAAAGATAAAGGCATCTGACAGCTATAATGGCTCCGATTCAAAGTAAACACTTGACGACATGGTGATTTTTATTATGTATTTTGCAAACAATACAATAACATCAACTATTGAATAGAACTGCTTCACTACAATTAACCAAATGACCACAAAATCAAATACTACTAAAGTAATATTTGATATACTTCAGTACTCTCCAGTTTTTTTGCCAGTAACAAGGATGGAAAATTTACCAAGGAGAAGAAGAAAAAGCAATAAACGCACTGCCAACGACAACCAAGAAAAGGCCACACTAAAAAGAAAATGAAACATGGGAATCGTATTTAGGCATCTGGATTGGCTAAGAAGTAGGCTTCAACAGCCTTGAACAAGCCTCCTGTCTTTTTGCCATACACATCCTTGATTTGATCTTTGTTGATCTCAGCATCACCCTTGATGTAATATGTGCTGGTTCTCTTGCAAATGGAACCTCCCTCAGGAGTTGGCACGAACTTGTGCTCATAAGTCACCTTTTCTACTGCATCCTTCCAAACATTGGCTTCAATCAAGCTGAAGCTGTAGGTCAAGTTCTCTTCGTCAATTGCCTCAATCTTTTGCTTCGCATAACTGAGTTCTTTGCCTGCAAGTTATTTGTTTAAATTAAATAATTTATGTCCTAGTCAAATAAATCACCCTTGAAACCATATAAAATTCTAATTGACTATGCATGCTCTCCAACAATTTGGAAAATCCTAGCACATCAATTTTATGGAAGATAACTATATATTTACGACTTGAATAATTCCAAGCTGACGGGAATTTCTTCAGATGGTTTAGTTGAGTTGTTTTGTCTTCATATAGTTAAACTGGGGTCTTTCAAAAATCAATAATGGAAAAAAGATTTTAAGAAATGGAGATTGGAAAACATATAAATCAAACTCATGATCCCCCCACCATATCTAAAAATTTAAAGCTCACAGAGGCGGCCTAAATTTTATATTTAAGCAATGTTTTTTCCAATTTTATGTGTATATATATAGGGAGAGAGCGAAGCCACCGGCCAGGATGACAAAAGATAAAGCCCAAATCATTAGCGAGTGGTCAAATGAAGCGCCTACCAATGTAGATAGTATAATAACTTGACAAAATTTGAAAAAACAATTTTAAAAATCTAGAAGGTATTCCTTTTCTCTTTTGAGAGAATTGAAAAGGGACTTGTAAGTTGCATCATGTTTAAGAATAATTGTGTAGGCATGACTGCATACTGTATAAATCTCAACACCAAACGATTGAGGTAGCCCTCATGTTCTGATGATTAAGCCAAATTCATAGTCGGTTGGTCCAAGAATGTTTCTTTTAGAGCTATTTGGTTAAAAGAACAAAATAGAAATGAAAATAAAAATTAAATCTAATTTATTTTCGTAGTGGAAGGTGAGAATAAAAATAACAAATGAGAAAGATTTTTTTTTAATTAAAAGAAGGATATATTATTTTTATTTATTTTACATCAACTACTTTACTATGCTGTTTATTCTTACATTTTTACCCTTTTCGTGTAAGTGGCTTTACATTGAAATAATATTGAACACTTTTTAATAATAAAATATAAACATAGAAAATCAAGATACAAGAACTATTAGTGGGTTGCCAAACAACGATTTACTGTAAATCCTTCTACTTGCCTAATTCATCTATCGAAAAGTGTTTTTTTTAATATATATATATATATTCCATGGGAAGTAAATTTTTAAAAAGTAAATTATTTTCTTATATTTGATAATATCATGAAAAATAAATTGAAAAATATTTTATAGTATTTAGCTATTCCTTGAAAAATAAGTTAGAAAATAAATTATTAATATTTTAAAATATTTTTCAAGTTTACTAAAGAATAGGGATCAAAATTAATTGATGAAAAAGTTGGAGGATGAAATTAAAAAAATATAATTTCATAAATTATCTCAAATAAAAAATAAGGAACAAATCTGGAAAAAAAAGTCAAAATGAGTAAATTGAAAAAAAAATTCAATTTTATAAATTATTCTAAATAAAATATATAATAATCAAAAGAATAGGAACCAAATAAATAGATAAAAAAAATTCAATTAAGAAAATGATCGGAGAAAAATAAATAACAATCAAAAGAATGATAAGTAAAGTTGATTTAAGAATTAACTTAAATTAAATTTTAAGAGATAAAATTAAAAAAATTCAAAAAAAAATAATTCAAAAAATATATATAATGATAAAAAAAATGAGGGCCAAATTTGACATAATCAACATATAACAAGATAATTTTGAATTTTTATAACTTCTAAAAAACATATTCTGTTTAAAATAATTAAAAAATATTTTTAAAAAAATCAAACTAAATTTTTCTTTTACTTTATTGATTATATTTTTATTGTAATTTAAGAACATAGATAAAAACACTTTACAGGATGGGACAAAGTACAGCAATTTATATTTGAATTGAATATAAATAATTGAATAAATTAAATAGATGTGCAATAGTGAAATAGAATAGCTGGCAGAAAAATACATTGTGATTTATACCCATCTCAAAATGGTATCCAAGAAAAAGACAGAAAAGAAATAGAAAAAATATATGATGCTGAAGAATAACAATTAATTCATCACTAGCTCATCAATCCCATGGACTCAATTTGCACTCCACTGGCAGTGCTGGGAATCTTTCAGTGTCTTTGCAATAATCATAGATCACAAGGTTTCTTCGGACCCAGGCATAGTCCATTTTCTGTTCATCTGAGAGATGCCAAGCATCGTATTGATCCCACCAGTATTTAGTCGTTGTTGATACAGAGGCAGGGTATGGATCTTCCCATTGACAACCTTCAACAGTGAAGTCCTTGTAAAAGGACACAAATGGGGCCTTTTTCCAGTCTGTCTTCTCTAGCCCTCCTCTAGTAGCCCAATCATCTGCGTTCCAGATACTTGAAAATAGGTACATGGGCTTCTCATTGGGGAAGAAATTATTTGGTTCTCCATTGTTCTTGTGCACCCTTATTGCTACTTTATCAACAAAAAACCTGCTTAGCGTATGAAAAATCCAAGTCAGTGTCACTGTCATCTAACCCCAGTTGCAAGCAAATCTCTTAGGCTTATTTTTTGACTGGTTCCCACAATGTTTATCTCTTCCTGCAGTAACTATTGTGTTTTTTAAGTGTTTTTTTATATAATTTTAATGTGCTAATATAAAAACATAATTTTGAAATGCATTTTTCAATGGAAAAACATATACGTTACCAAACACACCGGGAGGCAACTAGCCCTTTAATCTACTTTTTTTGCCATTTTCTTTTTGCTTTTGCTTTTGCTTTTGCTTTTGTGCAAGATTGCAGCATGAAAACTTGAATCATCAGGTGCCTTGATCTAGCTGTAGCATAGAATCGAAGGACTTACACTATCTGGAGATTGTCCCAGAGAATGGAATAGGTGTGGTACTCCTCGGTAGGGTCGAACCAAAGCATGTGCCTCATTTCACGATTACCAGTACCATTACTCCTCGGTAGGGTCGAACCAAAGCATGTACTCCTTGTATATATTTGTTTGAATCAAATAGGGTTCTCCAGTTCTATTCCCCAAGAACTCAAAGTCCAACTCATCTCTTGTTGGCCCTGCCCCATTCTCTGTACACATCTGCAAACACAGATGAATCCACTTTAGCCTACCTCCGTAATAATTTCCTGTACTTACTGTCAAGCTCGAATTAAGTCCAAAAAAAAAAATAGTTTAAATATTTATGAAGACTTTGATTAAGCTTCACAGCCATGAATCTTTATGGCATTTTGAGCGTATGGGGCGGTAGAAGAAAGACTTACATAATAAGCTGTCACAACACCTGCAGAGTCACCTCCAACCAATTTCAGCTTCATGCTAAACCACCCAAATCTATATTTATGCTTGGTTTGAAATCCACAACCTGATAATTAAGAAAAAAAGTGATTTAATAAGATTAAAAATCTTGAACATTAAGCATGGAATATATGATAAATTCATCCCATTCAATCAATGAACGAATAAAGAACTCTTTAGTTTGCTCTGATTGAAGATTATATAAACGCATAGATAAGTGTGTACCTGTTTCTTTGTCCAATGAGAGATACCAGATCTGGCCATCTTCAGATGTTTTGAAATGATCCTCAGACCACATTATGCTAAAGTTATCCTCAAAAGATGCTTTTGGTTGAGCTGCTTCAGAAGAGACAGAGGAAGCAGCCATGAAAGCTGCAGTGTAGAGAAGAGCTGCCATTGTAGAAACCCTTCTCTCCATTTTGCTTGAAGAAGGCAGGGAATGAGTTTTCTCAGCTAGCAGCTGGATCCTTGTGAGGTGGTGATTTGCATCTAATGATTAGTGTTGGAAATGCAGTGCTTCCAATATGAAGGCTAGAACTGGAAAATCAAGCTGACATTTCATTGTTGATAAATTTGATCATGATCATGTAATGTACAATTTTGCCCATCCATATGCTTGTTTACTGTTGTAGTATATGTTATTTTTAAAAAATATTTTTTAATTAAATATGTATTAAAATTATTTATTTTTAGAATTTCTTTTATTTTTTTATATAGCACTACAAAAAAATATTAAAATATATTAATTTAATAATTTTTTAAATAAAAAATAGTTTAGAAAACAAAACTATAACTAAAATATATTGATGGGGAACATTATGCTACAAAACCGACATGGGTATTGTAGGAATTTAATAAAAATGGTGCATGGAGAATTTACATCACAGAAAAGATAAATGGAAGGCTGAGAAAGCCAGACTGCCCTCCAAAGAAAATTTCAAGGTGGGGTCCATATGCTGTCGCAAGAGAGGAGTGATTTTGATTTTTCAGACAATAATCAGAAAGTTCTTGGACTTGACATCTGGAATTTTTGAAGCACGACATTGTATGAAGTTAAATTGTTATATGGTAATTCACTGCCCAAATTTGCTAGCCTCGGCTCAAAATTTATTTTTAAAAAACAAATTGAGCTTTTTTTATTTTAAAGAAAAATTGTTACGTGTACAACCAGAATTTTATATTAATTAAATAAAAAATTTATATATATAAATAAATATTAAAAACTAAATTAAAAAATTAAAAAATAAATATAGATTAAGAAATTAATTTTGTCTTATATGAAGCAATTCATATTTTTTTAAATAACGATTTTTTTATAAAAAAAAATTAATTTAAATTTTATTGAAATAAATATTTTTCTAGTACAATTCATTTTTTTACTAATCTATTTTTTCAACAAAAAACGTAGCTTTTTTAGCAATATATTTCATTTAATAAAATCCGAAGCCCATTAAAATAAATATCCAATAGGCTCTAAGGGATTCTAAATAATGATAAAAACCGCATCCTTTTAATTAAAACCTATTTATTCTATTAATTTGATTTCTTTGTTGGCAATGTATTTACTAAAATGTTATTCTACAAAAAATATTAGAGTAATAAAAGAAAAATCTAATAAAAATATAATAGATGGTTTGTTATTATATCTCAAATGTATTAAAAAAATATAAAAATAATAGATAAAAAATTTTGATTATGTTTTTTTTGCAACCATGTGATAATAAAAAGCAATTGCGCAAAAAAATCCCAAAATAAAAATTTAAGAAAAAAATAAATACAAGGCAGGGAGTGTTTTAAAAAAAATACTTGTTAATTTTATAAAGAAAACTATAATTTTATTCTTGAAAATTATATTTTAAAATTATTTATTTTCATGAATTTAATTAGACAAAAAAAAATATAAAAAATCAAATATATAAAAGGCCAAGTGGTTGAGCTGGGTGGCCCAATATCTAACCCATTTAAAGAAAAGTCAACGTTAGCATATGATTCCTTTTCTCTTGGGTATAAAAAACAGATGATATTTTATCTGTATTTAAAAAATAAAATAAAAATAGATAATACATTGTCTATTTTTCTAGTTTCCAATCATGTCAAGTTAGAGTTTTTTTTACTCAAAAATTTATTTTTTCAATTTATTTTCATCTAGAAACATGTAATAAACATTTTTATAATATTAATAAACTAATCTATCAACTCACATCACTCTAAAATCATTTAAAAAATACAAAATTAAAATAATAAAAAATCATCTCTCAATCTTGATATAAAAAAAACAATAAAAAAAAACAATAAAAGTAAACACTTTAATGAAAATCCTTCTATTGAATAAAACTATTAATACCAAGATTGTACTTTATTGTTGTTGGAATATGTTTAATTGATTATTTTTTATTTGTTATTTTTTTATGATGTAATCTTTTAAATGTCAAATCCAATAAAAAAAAATGAATCTTTGCATCAAAATCAAAATTCTAAAAATTTTGAGACTAGCAAATGTCTTATTTTTATATTTTATATTATTATTATTTGTCTTTTAATTTTATCTTTCTGCAACTTTTTAAAATGTTATCTGGTAGAAGTTAATCACAATTCAATAAAAAATACTTTTGAGTGAAATTTAAAAAAATATAACAAAACAAAAAGAAAGAAGAAAGAGAGTTGAGAAGCCCATTAGCATTTCTAGAAAAAACATTGAAGTCTACGGTTTCAATGTGCTGGTTTGCTTCACTTTAACCTAGCAATGGAGGTTTATTCAAACTATAAAAAAAAACTTTTTTTTTATTTATGTGGGGGTGTCTGGGTCAGCTTACACGCACCACGACTAATCCTCACGGTCCACTGAACATTCTGCAAGCCTAGTGAACAGGTAAAGCATCGCGGGGGTGACATGCGTGCACGGTAAAACTCGAATCAGGTGCGGAGAAAGAGGACAAGTCCCTCCCACCGCTGAACTAGAATATTACTTACCAAAAATAAAGAAAAACTTTTACTAGAAAGCAGAGCTTGCTCTCTTCGAAATAAAGAAGACCAGCATGCTAATAACAATGGCCAGGAAAGGAGGCAGATTATATTACATAGTTACAAAACAATATCCTCTTCACTATGGCTCAGAGTCTTCAGACAGATCATGCGGGCAACCGGTGGTATACCCTCAAGTATGCTAAAGGATGGAATATTGATAGCCGTCTGATTACAAGTCAAATGCTTGAAACATTGGGTTTCAAATCATCAATTTTGAGTAATGTAAGATTTTGATTTTTTTTTAAATCATCAATTTCTATTTCTAAAACCACATAAATGCATTTTTCACATGATATACAAATGAAAACATTTATATGACTTTACAACATTGGATGGTAAAAGATTATATAGATATGTCAATCAATGATTATTTTGACATAAAAATTTGAAGAAAAAAATATTAACAATTTATATTGCAAGCTACTAATACATCTTTCACAACTCAGATATTAGGTCCATGACCGACAATGTTAAAATAGTGTCGGGGGGGGAA